GTGGAAGGGAGCTAGCTCCATGTGTCTGTGGGACATGTGCCATGTCTGCAGGAAGCTGTCCCCAGCACCCAGTCATATTGCCTCAGCGATGTACCTCAATACAGTGCCACCTACGAATGCCAGGAAGGCAAGGCCACCAGGACATCTTCACATTGGCAAAGTGAAAACAACAGAGGGTTGAGACGTCAGAAGGGATGCGACCACGGGGAGGATTTGAACACAAAAGAGGTCAGGTCTGGGATAGGAGCTCTCGTCCAACCGGAGGGTTGAGAATGTGAGGCGTGGGAGAATTGAGCACAAAGTGTACCGAGTACTGAGGGAGCACTGCGCTGTCGAGGGTCTGGTCTTTCAGGTCAGACGTTCCAACCGCCCTCCCCTCCACAGCAAACATCCCACGCAGTCACCTTTCCCATGGTGCCCTGGGCTGGACGCACCCCTCGGAACCATTATCACGTGATGCGTGTTGGCGATGGGCCAGCGTTCTCCACTGCACGACATGGTGACTCCAAATCGGATCCTCCCCCTCCAAGTGTTCGGCCCTTTGGGTTGGCCTGAAGTTGTGACGGTTGCTGCGGGAAATGCGGCCTGGTCTGCCCTTCCTGGTGTCGGGAGCCTAACGTTGCCTGTTGTTGTCTGCAGGGCCTCTGTACGTCATCGTGGAGTTTGCCTCCAAGGGGAACCTGCGAGAGTACCTGAGGGCTCGGCGGCCCCCTGGCATGGAGTACTGTTACAACCCAACCCACGTACCTGTTGAGCAGCTGTCCTTCAAAGACTTGGTGTCCTGTGGGTACCAGGTATCCAGGGGCATGGAGTACCTGGCTTCGAAAAAGGTAAGGGGCTGGGAGCTGCCAATAGCACAGGCTTGCGTGGGACCCAGCCCCCTCAGAATCATAGCACCAAAGTGTAACGGCAGAACGGTCTCACAGTGGCACAGTGAGAAAATGGAGGCCCTATTTACCTGGTTGCCCGTTACACCAATCCCCTACAGGGCGTGGCAGCCGGCTTGTCCCGAGGGTGGGGGGATTTCAAGACGAGGGGGCACCTTCTCAAGCTGAGAGAAAAGAAGACAGGAGGGGCAAACATTTTAACACACAACGTGATTGGTGTGTGGAATGGACTTCCTGAGGAAGTGGCAGATATGGACACTAAGTTTAAAAGACATTTGGCGAAGGGCATGAACAGGAAAGGTTTGGAGGGATATGGGCTGGGAGCAGGCGGGCGGGACTGGTTTAGTTTTGGGATCATGGTCGGTATGGAAGAGTTTGACCGAAGGGTCTGTTTCCGCGCTGTATGATTCTCTGACTCTATAACTACATTTACACAGCTCTGAGGGTGCATGCGGTGCCCCTGAATATGGGCCCTTGATGCCGCAGCAGTGTGGGACTAGCCTCTGTCCAACTGGGCAGCAGCAATTCCTGGGACCTTGGACAGGGCTTTGCTACCAACTGTAGCTCAGGGTGTGGGCACCAGGCATAGTCAGTGTTGTCATGGTACCAGTGTGGCAGCCCAGCATTGCTGATGCCTTTTACTCGTGCCCTTGGGATGTTACAGAGATGGAAGGGACTTACTGAGCCAGTGCCCCACAGTGGGCAGTTCCAGTCACCAGCTGGTCTCCTGGTGCAGTAAGGGGGCCCGCCCTGGACTGGTATTGACCCAGACCTGTGCTGCCTGCCCAGCACACCGTCATTCATCTGTTGGCTGGCGCATGGGGAGTCTGTGCCCAGATATCACCCCACACCTCAGTTGGTGAAACAGAGGAGTTCAATGGGTTTGGAAGGTGCGCAGATATTGTAACAAGCCTTTCTCTCCTCAGTGCATTCACCGGGATTTAGCTGCAAGAAATGTTCTGGTGACTGACGATAACGTGATGAAGATTGCAGATTTTGGACTGGCACGGGATATCCACCACATCGATTACTACAAGAAGACAACCAATGTGAGTGTGTGTGTGTGTGTGTGTTGTGTCCCACTGTGAGGGGTAATCGAGCCAAGCTTTGTGCCTTGGCCAGGTCACTCGTGTGGTACAGTGTCCCTCGGTGCTGAGGGCTGCCTGTGCGTTCCTGCATCATGTACCTCCTGACTGAGCAGACAGCAAAGTTAGTCACAGTGCAACAAGAAGGAAGGGAACACAACCTTTGTGGGCCATTTATAGGCTCACGTTAGGCGTTGCCAGGACAGCGAGGTAAAACCACCAGCACAGGCACCTCCCCATCAACGTCCTGGCTCCATGTTTCAGCTGCCTTTATTTTCATTCACTTGTGGGATGTGAACGTCGCTGGCTGGCCAGCATTTCTTGCCCATCCCTAGTTGCCCTTGAGAAGGTGGTGGTGAGCTGCCTTCTTGAACCTCTGCATTTGTCCTGCTGTGGGTTGACCCACAGTGCCATCAGGGAGAGAATTCCAGGATTTTAACCCAGGGACAGTGAAGGAACAGTGATATATTTCCAAGTCAGGATGGTGAGTGGCTTGGAGGGGAACCTGAAGGGGGTGGCATTCCCATGTATCTGCTGCCCTTGTCCTTCTAGATGGAAGTGGTCATGGGTTTGGAAGGTGCTGTCGGAGGATCTTTGGTGAATTTCTGCAGTGCATCTTGTGGATAGTACACACTGCTGCTACCGAGCTTCAGTTATTGCACTAGTCCAGGCAAGTGGGGAGTATTCCATCACACTCCTGACTTGTACTTTGTAGATGGTGAACAGGCTTTAGGAAGTCGGGAGGAGAGTTACTTGCCGCAGTATTCCTAGCTTCTGGCCTGCTGGTGGAGACACTGCATTTAGTTGATCAGGTAGGAAGGCCATCAAGAGGCCCTAAGATGGTTACTTGGTGAGGAGTTGTTGGCCAGGCTTGTGATTTTGACAGCAGGAGGGAGGAGCTGGGACCAGCACGCACCCAGAAATGCTCTTTCTCTTTTGACGACCTGTGACATTGCAGCTGGCTATTCAGATTGGCGGAGGAAGCAAGTGAGATTTGGGAAACCATTTTGTTGGTAACTTGTGCGAGGTGGTTGAAAAAATTGTGAAGAAGAGACACACCGCAGGGAGACGAGCAACAGTGAGCAGGACAAACGGATCCATCTTTCCAAGGGCTGGTGGAGACTTGATGGGCTGAGTGGCCCCTTGCACGACATGATAATTGTAGAAGAACACTGTCAACAGTTGGACATGACTGAGCTCATCATTCATGCACTATTGAGAGTTCCAGTTTGCAGCCCCAGTTTCTGGATCTGCCTGACAAGAACTGCACAAAACTGCGTCATTCACCATATCCTGCCTCTCCTTGTTCAGGGGTGGAGCAATCCTAAGCCAAGCCCAGAACCCAGCCCTCTCCTCAGGTGTCCTATACTTTCTCTCAGAATCATTGGGATCTCTCCTCAGGCGTGCAGTTGTCATTGGTCGGTCGCTCCCTGTTGGCCATGTTTGAATTCCCCAGTCGAGAGAAACACCAGGTTTGTTTGCTCTCCATCAAACCATATCATCATCATCCATTCTCATCGACCATCCCCCAGACAGTGTCTTGCTGCAGACTGCGTTCCACATGCTAACCAGTCTCCTCAACTCCCAATTCGAGCAATGGATGGGTGATTT